CTCATCCCTGTCATCCCGTCGTCTAGTGGCATAAACCAAAGATGGCTGTCTAGCCTCAGAAACTGTTGGCCCTCTATTTTGCTGAGGTCGGGCTCTACTGTCTGTCCTGGATGCTGATCCTCGAGTCTTTCCTTAATTACGATCTCTAATTGGGGTCTGTACTGTAGTCTAAGAATACACAGGAGTCTGGATAGCGGTATGCTCAAACGAATCTAGCTGAGGACAATCCCTCCGAAAATGACCACTAGATCCACACTGATAGCAAAGACCCATCTTCTTACGACACTCTCTTGTGTGTTATTTACCACAAAACTCACAGAGAAACCCATGATAATACGACGAGGAACCGCCTCGACTGCCAACTAACGGTGAGGATGCTGCAGGCCTGAAACGTGTATTGCTTCTCTGAGGGACTGAAGTACGAGTCCTTTTCCCGGACTGTGCTGATGACTACATCGGGCCTAAAAATTTCTTAGATCGTTCTTGTTCAACACGCTCTCTACCAGAAGCTAAAACCTCCACTTCTTTAGCATCTTTGGTTTTGTCCACCAGCACATCAAATATCTCATCCTGATGGGTTACAACTTGCCTACACAGCTCGTATCTGAGTCCAAGGGCAAATTTACGACATCGATCTCTCTCAGTAGGTACCATACTTCAGCAACTTCAAGAACTCGATCTCATACTCAGAAACAATCATGTCTCCCTGAACCAGGTCTTGAAACTGCTGACGTCTCTGAGCTAAGTAGCGCTCTCCCAGAAAATGACTCCGAAAGAGATCCTTAAAGAAATTCTAGGTCAAACGATCGGTAGGAACACTATTGGTCACTGACTCCCACCAAGTGTAGGCATTGCCATCTAACATCGCCACAGCACCCTGATATCTCTTAGTTGAGTCCAAACTCAACTGATCCATACGTCTCTCTGTATCCTGGAGCCAATCATCAGCTTCAGTAAGAGTTCCACCAATCTGTCCCCTAAAAGTTCTAACTCCATTGGCAATCAAAGTCTGCGAAATAGGAACCTCTGATACAACACCAGTAGCTCTGACTGCTCCCTGTATCAATTGCAGAAATTATCTACCAAAATTCTCATCCAAAGCAACTCCGGTAGACTCTGACTCAATATCGGTCGTTCCTATGATCGGTGTAGTCATGCCAATACCAGCGGCAGGAGGCAGATTCGTTGGGGTCGTAGGAGCATGATCACCTATCGGAGGTGGGGGATCTACTTGTATCTCATCGATCGGGTCTGCAAATCTAGCCACTCGACCTCGTCCACGGCTAGTTCGACGACCACGTCTAACACTCATTTTTGGTGGATCTCAAGTTTACTACAGGAGATAAAACTTAAGGTTAGATAAGCACTTCGAGTCTCAAACACAGTTAAAATCTTAATAACTTTGTGACATGGCCTTTGTAACTTGTTTTGTAAAATATTTCAAAACCGTATTTTCAATGTGGACTCATACACAGTCCGAGAGTTAAAAACCAAAAGCTCTGATACCAATAAATGTAACCCCCTAGACCCGGCCTATGCGTTTTAACTAAGTCTAGTGGATCACATACATGATTCTTAAAGACATTTTCTGAAACCGTTATTCAATCATTGTAAAATCACATTATAAATGACATGATATTATACCATCAAAACCTAACTTGTAAATATAATAACAATAAGTAATAAATTAATTTAAAACAGGTCTTCAAAATCAAAATCACAATAAACCAAACAATAATTGCAAAAGTGTCATCATCCTAAAATACAATACTTTAAAATAAGGTTCATGTCACCAAAATAAAGTCAACTAGCAAGATAAAATATTACAATCAGATATACTTCAAGAGATATGTTGATCCTCCAAGTGCTCGAACCGATGTATCTAACCAACAGTATCTGAAAGGGGGAAAAACATTTTCGAAAGGTGAGCTAGGCTCAATGTGTCCCAATATTACCTTAAAATCACAATAGGTACATTAAACAAATCATAGTCCAGTAAATCTCATAAATTTATTAAAGAGTTTAACTTTTAAAAATCATAGTTTAAACTCTTTTCTTGTACACCATCAGTAATTTCCAAAACTATTTTCCATATAACTTACTCTAAGCACACAGCAAAAAGAAAGCCAACCTAAGGATAAGCTTTAGAGCTTGTATCCTTAAGCCCGTAAGTCCAAGTCCATATAGCTTACCCTAAGCACACAGCAAGGGAAGCCAACCTAATGTATCTTGGGGCCCCAAGAGTCACATTAGGCCTATTCTGTTTATTAGCTTGATCATAGCTATACTATTGTAATTCAATCCAAAAGTTCAATTGCACCGTGACACAAATTCCATAAATCATCACATTAAATTGGTGCATCAATAAAACAGTAACCAAAGAACTCAGTGTACCTCATATTAAAACCAATAAAACAGTTCAGTAATAATTAAGGAACACACTTCGATAATAGGTTCAAATAGTATATATACTGATTGCTGGTTTCACCACGCTCTGCTACAGTTTTCGAACCTATTTTATAATAACACTATATTACTTATGGGTAACATAAATAAATCTCTAAAATCATAAAATTTACGGGTCTTACGGGTGAATACTGGCACACGTGGTTTAATTGATCTAAAAGAGCTGGGTCGAGCTGTCAAACGATCCGGAGAGTTTCTTGTACCTTCAAACAATAATGATTTATCAGCCCCAAATATTACTTAATTGTTCAAAGCTAAATTCTTAAGTTTATAAGCATTTTTAGGGTTTGACTATCAATTTGGAGGATTTCGGGTTTGAATTTGGCCAAACGGATTGCGGAATCGGAATCAGGATGTCGAAAAACATAAAGTATGTCTTTTCGAAAATTTAAATTCTTGGTCAAAGTCAAAGTCAACCACTTTGACCGTTGATTTGGAGGCCTTCGGGTTCAAATTTGGTGAAACGGACTTTGGAAACGGATTCGGGACGTCGAAAACTATCAGAATAGGTATACTCGGAAAATATTTACGGTCGTTTAAGGGTCGGTCAAAGCTATTAAAGGTTCTGGTCAAAAAAAGTCAACGGTTAACGGTCGGGTCGAGTCGGTCGGGTCGGGTCAGACCGGTTTAGACCGGTCAAACCGGTTCAAAACCGGTCAAACCGGTTTTCAAGCTGCTCACTCTCCCTGTGGCGGCGCGTGTGGCGCGTGAAACGTCCTTCGGGGCTCTAAAATTCACGGAAAAATTTCTACAAATTATTGTGAGCGATTTCGAGATACTTACAACGATCGGTTCCAATTTTTGAACGGCGGAGAGCTCGATTTTAAATATGCTGAAACTTTGACTGCTCCACCTCCTCACGCGCCGCCGTCGACGGAGACCAAGGTTGACACCGGCGGACTCGAAACGGCACAAGGAACACGATGGTGCAGGAGGTGTCGTAAACGGAGCAACGATCGGCGGTGAATTTGAGATTTTCCCGGCGATAGAGCTAAAAAAAACGTCGATGCTTTGACTTGAAATTCCCAACGTTTAGCAGCGTTTCGCTTCAATTAATTTAAGGGGATTGTTCCTGACTCGATAACGAACACGATGTTGATTTCAAAACGACGATCGGAATTCGGAAAGCGTCGGGATCTAAGTCGGAAACCTGCGTAGGGGGAAGGGAATTTGGGAGCAATTGAGGTGTGGTTTTCTGTTTTGAAACAGAAAACCACGTTTATAACATAACATACCTAACTTTCTTGGGTAAATTCAGGGCTTGGTTCCTGAATTTTCTTTAACTCTAAAACAAGCTTCAAGTTTTAAAATCTTTCAATTTAGTCCCCACAATTTACCGATTTTCACAATTAAAACCTCCAATTTCAATTAAATATTATTTTGAAAATATCCGGGTTGTTACATCGTCAAATTGTAAACTTAAAAGAGTCATATCCTCCAACATCGCCAAATATCAAATACATGAATACCTTCAAAATCGCCATAAGAAATTGTTTTACACAAACCGTACATGAGTTCAATTGACTCTATGGCATGCCACACGCATTCGACACTCGACTTACTGTTCAAGGGTAATATACTAACATGGTTAAACTTACTTGTATAAAAGATAATAAAGTGAAACTTATTACTATAATGAATTTGATAACAAGGATCAAAGTATAACACATTCGAGTCTTAAGCTCCACAGTCTGAATTATACATCAGACTCTATTTCACAACTTAGTATATTAGAAGACTTAAAATGCTTACGTTCAAGTTCAAAATATGCGTAATTTCATAGCAGTTTCACAACTAAATCACTGTGGCCTTATAACATAACTAAGTTTACCATAAGCTTACGAAATATATATTTTCCATCCAACATTACTGTAATTGAGCCAAACTTGCATTTAATCTTAGGAATCAAATACCATTAGAAATTAAATTGAATTAATATACTCAACATCCGACACTCACTAAATATTTGAGATTACAAAGCATCTCACACCACTCTCGGAAGCTGTCAATTTCCTTTCTGAATAGAATTTGCTTCAATTGAATCCTTATCTAGCAATTCAACATTACATCAACGATTCCTACCATAAATCAATATATCAATTTAACCGTAAATGAAAAAATAACTTTAAAATGAAAAGGGTTTAGGTATCAATAATTTTTGAAGATTTCATTAGTTATAAATATTTTAATTTTAAAATAATAAGTTCATGAAATCTTAAAAAAACTTCGTCCACACAACTCTTTCAACTTTGCCAGATTTCCGGGGCAAAATAATGCTCCTAGTCCAACCGAACAAAATAAGAAGGTTCAATCAATTGTAGAAGTCGATGTCGAAAACTCGAAATATATCAATTTTTACATGTTAATACTTTGGAAAAAAAATAGTTTAAAAGACAAATAGAATGGTGTCACGTGTAAAATGATTTAATTTGTTTTATCATAATTGCTAAAGTGTCTGTTTCCTTATCGGATATGTTGCAGAAATATCAGGCTCCTTGTCTTCTTTCTCACATTTCCATGGCTCTAATTTTCATTCCAAAAGCTTAATTATTACTTTCCTTCCTGTTCCAAGATTATAGTTAGAAATTACAATTTACCTGTTCCCTAGCTTATTCAGAAATAAAATTGATGAGAAAGGAGCAATCTTGGTTTAGCAGCCATGGTTTGCCCATTAACAAGAACGTGGAAGCTGACAGTAGCAGTAGCGAGTGGCTATGGTTCCACTCGTTGCAGTAATTTGAACTCCATGTTTAATTCCTTCCTTTCCAATAAACAAATTACAAGGCAGAATTTGGCTAATTTGTCTTTTGATCCCACTTCTTCTTCATCTTCTCTGAGCTCTTGTTTGTCTAATTCTCCTTTGGCTGCTTACTCAGACAACAAAAAATGTGTACCAAATGCAAGAAACAATGAGACAGATGTGCACAGAGATGACAGATTTGGAAAAGAACTCAGACCCAAAATTACGGAGCTTGAAGAAAATCAGCCTTGGCTGCATAAACTTGTGTTTACATCCAAGAAGATCAGGAGTGTTCTCTTGCTCAATTTCATCACCATTGTTTATGGTATGTTTCAGCTCTCTGTTATGCTTCAATTGCTAGAATTGTGCAATCCTTTTATTGGCGTTAAGTTAAATTGTTGTAAGAACTACAATGGTGTCCAAATATTGCAGCAAGTGATATTCCAGTTATAAAAACAGTTGAATCTATAATGGACCCGGCACCCTTCTCCGCGGTGCGGTTCGTGATGTCGGCCATCCCATTCTTGCCGTTCGTGCTTCGAGCTCGAGACGATGTTAAGACGCTGAAAGCGGGGATAGAGTTGGGACTTTGGGTCAGTTTGGGTTACTTTGTTGAGGCAATTGGTCTACTTACAGCTGATGCTGGCCGTGCATCGTTCATTTCTCTGTTTACAGTAAGTAGTTGAGTTATAATACACATTAGGAAATAGGTGCAGTCTCTGATGGTAGGATCAATTCCCATTGGTTCAAACAGGTTATGGTGGTACCAGTGCTCGATAGCATGTTGGGAGCTATAATACCTGCTCGTACTTGGTTCGGTATTCTCATGTCTGCACTCGGTGTTGCTATGCTAGAATGCAGCGGTTCCCCACCGAACGTAGGCATTCGAACATAAACGATACTGCCAAAAGATGTAGTATTATTATTCATAAAAGCACTAAGAAAACATCATTCTTCTTCATATCTGATCCCTTTCAGATTGGAGACCTGCTAAGCTTTCTGAGCGCTATATTTTTCGGAATTCACATGCTTCGGACAGAACATCTTTCAAGAAGCACAAAGGAGGAGAACTTCTTGGCACTTCTTGGATATGAGGTTTACTGCTCAACATATATATACGGATACATTTAACCTATGATTAAGGATGATGCCATTATTAATGACAAAAGTTTGATGGTTTCCCTTTAGATTTGTGTGGTTGCTCTGTTTTCGACACTGTGGGTTGTAATTCAAGGATGGCTTGATGGCGACCAAGATTTCGATAAATCATCTTTGACATGGGAAATGTTATGGGATTGGATGATGGCCTTTCCATGGCTACCTGCCCTATATACAGGCATATTCTCAACTGGATTGTGTCTATGGATAGAGGTATTGTTTTCTATTTCTTCATTGTAGAAAATACATGCAATTTCTATCATGGAACGGATATCAAACATTTCTATGCAAAGTGTATCTTTCTCCATATAGATTGCTGCTATGCGTGAAGTGTCAGCAACAGAAACAGCCATCATATATGGAATGGAGCCGGTATGGGGAGCTGGTTTTGCATGGTTTCTCCTCGGTGAACGGTGGGGCACAACCGGATGGATCGGGGCTGCTCTCGTGCTCAGTAAGGGATTTCGATGTTACAAGCTTATGCCTGTTGATATGGTTATAAGTAATAAGCAAACGAGAGCATTATATGATTGTAGGTGGAAGCTTAATGGTGCAAATGTTGGGAACATCAGCTGCAAAAGGACCGATAGACGTGGAAAAAGGAAATCAGAAAGGCAATCTGCAGCGGGTTTCCGGAATGGACAAAGGAAAATTGCAGAAGAAGTTGTCTACTACACCAATTGTTGTGAGAACCAGAAAGGATGTGAGGGATATGTTTTAAGTTATCCATGTCACAAATGCTTTTCTAACTATACCCTGCTGCCTTGTATAACTGTTCATAGACTATATGTTGTACATATAACATATACGTGATATATAGAAAGTGTATAGGTTTGATGTTGCGGATTGTGTCAATGATTTTGTTCGATCATTGTAGCTCATAGGAAAGAAATATGATGATCCTATTTGAACTTCCTTATTGTAATGGTTTTGATCATTTAAGTGTGTTGTTGAGCATTGTAAGCTATTTTATCAGTTTACACCAAGTGCTTATAGGAGGAACATTTTTTTATTAATCTGAGATAATTAGTATTTGTTCGTAATTTTCTTAGTTAATTAACAGTTAAAGCACACCATGCTGATGCAGCTGCTCGATTCCGTAACCTTTAGAAAACAACACTTTCTTTTACTACTGAAATCACTTAATAATTTTTATTCTTTACCTACAATTTGTTTATTTAGAAACATAATTTTTAGTTGTGCTGTTGAATTTCCTGAGTTGTTCGTTCAATTTATCCAAGTGTTCATTTGGAAACATTTAGACCGATAATAATCAAAATATTCTTTAAATTCTTTTTAATAATCATCAATTCTTTCTTTTTTTAATGGAATATCAAGGCAAAGCCTTTTACAAATTATTAAGCTCCACCAGGGAGCCCGGTTTTATCATAATTTAAAATATCATGTAGGAAGGTCGGTGGGTGATCAATGAAGGAGCAAGACGGGTTTTGCTGGACATAGAATTTGACGAGAGCATCAGCAGCTCCATTGGTTTGGGGACGAATGAGGGTATATTCAACGATCCATGTTTTATCATGAGGGGAAGGGATGGTTCGGACAAGGGATAAGGGACTGGAGTGAGCTTTAGGAGAGGAGACGATATTGAAGGCTTCACTACAATCAAGCTGGCACAACACTTTTTCAAAACCTTGCCAAGCAAACTCCAATCCTTCAAACAAACCTCATAAACTCGGCCTGGAGCACAGTCGTGACACCAAGAGGTATGGATAAGCCGCCGAGCCAGTTCTCTTGATCATCACGAACAAGACCGCCTGCTACAACAAGAGAAAAAGAGGACACAACTCCATCGGAATTTATAGATACCCAGCCGGGAGGGGGTGGCTTCCAATTAGACTCGAACATGTTTATCAAATGATGTTGTAGGGTCATCTAATTAGAAAAAAATATAAAAATATATGTATAATATAATGGGTAATCTAAATCAGAATTAATTAATATCATAATATTATAAATAATTATATTAAAATTTGAATAAAAACCCAAACAAATATATTCGATTTGATTAGACCTAACTTTCATAAGCTCAACTCGATTAAAAAATCAAATAAAACTTAAATGATAAAATCATACTCTAAAGTTAACTAACTCATTTTTCAAGTTAACTTGATTGAATATAACTACAGTCTTACAACAAATTATTTGAGTACTCTGAGATCTAAACTCATTTGTTTCATTTTAGTTTCCGTGCTCAACGCTCATTGAACAATAACCACTAGTCACTTTCTGGGTTTTTTTTTTTTTACAAATCTACGATAAATATTATAAAGTATTTACTTAAAAGCTTTTAACTATTAACTTCATACACTTTCTGCATACATAATGTTCAAACTCGACACCTTAAGAAATAAAAAATTCTTTTAATTGCGAAGATCGTTTGATTTGTGCAATACGAAATAGATCGTTGTTACTGTTACAAATAAATTGTTGTTTTGGATGGTAATGTTTTCATATATATATATATAATTAATATATAATAATATTTTAGAAAAAATGTGTGCAAATATTTTAAATCTATGTGTGTATATATATATATATATATATATATATATATTAATTTAAATTACAGATTTATACTTTGGGGGATTTTTAATAATTTTTCATTTTCTTTTTTTTTTTATTTCAATCTCTATTATCTACGTATATAAAGGTTTATTTTTAAAAAAATATTTTTAGATTTTTTTAAAAGCTCATAATATTAAAAAAAAACAAAACAAAATTCATGACCTTCATTATTGTCACATGTTAAAAGCTGAAAGCATCACATCATTTTGGATGTAAAAAAATATCAGAATAGTGAACCAAAACAAATTGAATATCAAATTGGGAAAAAGACAATAAATAAAAGTATAAAGTTTAGAAGTATATATAAGCCTTTTAAAAGCATTATTCATAGAGGATAGAAGAGGAAATGGAAGTGGCGTGGGCATCTGTCAAAACTAGTGATGCAATGCCGTAAATGGAACATACTGATGAAATACTGAATGTGCCTTGTGTTGTGTGCTACCCTACCTTCATCCAATTTTCTTATCTTCTCTTTACTTTCTGTGGACCACAGGGACATCAAACAGATGCAGATTCATGGTACTCAAGCTACTCGAGCAAAACATTGGTACTTTGTTCTATTTTAACCTTTACACTACCCTCACATACAGTAGAAATATATTTCAAGTTCCAAAGAAAATATAGTACCAAAACTTCAGGATTCAAACCATGCACAATTCATTCAACAACTGGACTAGGTATCAGAAAAGTTACCATGAAACTTGCAGGATTTATTCAAAGCAACCACTATATAAAAAAAAAACTAAAAATACCGTTCATCGTCGACTAGGAAAAAACAGCTGATCATTGCAGCATGAAATAGTTCTATGCTAAATTTATTTATTTAGTACGAAAAGGAACGTTTCAGTAACATAAGATGAGAAGCATGACTTAGTTCTTGATGGCAAGGAAAAGCCCCCATCTCTGCTCGCCTGCTGAGCTCCTCATCAGCTTTGCCTTCCATCCATCGACTATTTCATCATAGTCTTCCTGAATATTCATTCCCAAAACAATATCATTTACTATTATTGGGTTCTTTTTTTTTTTTTTAAACTTTTAATGAGCTAGGTTATCAAAATGATCCAAAACACTCACTTGAGAGAAATCGGAGATGAATGCATCCTTATCGTCCTCAACTTCATTTAATTCACGCTGCAGAACTTGTATGAACTAAAGCACAAGAACAACATTAGTTTAGCTCGCCTACCCCAACCGGTTTCGTAATTTCATAACAAACTTAAAATACAAATGAAATTGGTAGGCTTATCTGAACCTGATTGGTTCGATCCTCTGCAATCACCACATCAAAACCAGCATCCTTAAGCATCTGAAAAAAAATAAAAGCAAGGCAGAAAGGTAACTCCTGATGTCAAAAACTGTTTATATGAAATGGAAACAACAAACTTCTTTTAATTTGAATATACCTGCTCGTATGACTTTACATCATGGAGATCGTAGCCTCTCTGCTTGATATACTCGGCAAATTCGGCCGATGGAGTCTTGGAACTTTTGCAGTAATCAGTTATAAGAAGTTTGCCTCCTGGCTTCAACCATTTGTAGAAAGATCTAAATAATGCAGGTTTGTCCTGGAAGTCAATTTCAGACACGGAACATGAGAGGATATCAAAGCATATCAAGAAAAATCCAAATGATTGACAATTCTTCAAATAGTTGATCAGGACATGAAGTAGTATGAATGAACTGACAATTCTTCAAAGCGATTATCGTGAGGTTGACTACATCAAATTGGTTTAATTGTGCGATAGGTAGCAATTTTCCCAGTTAAAATGCTCATTTGGATGCCTATGCTAAACTGCTAAATCTCTAAATCATTTCAAAGGGAAAACACTTCTTATGAGGTATCGAGTCGTCTTACTTGAATGTGTAGAATGGTGTCACGGCTGTAGATAACATCAAAACTGTTGTCCGGATAAATCTTCTTAGCGCAATCAGCAACTTCAAATTCCACTGAGCACTTGAGTCCGGTAGCTCGTTCAAGAGCAAAAGATACCATATTTATGGAGAGATCAATGCCCACAACATGGACATCAAATTCCTCAGCCATATAAAAGTCACCTCCACCAATGCCACAGCCAACATCTAGGACCTTCTGGCCAGGCTTAAGATCCAACTTCCCCACAAATTCTTTTGTTGTTTCTGCTCAAAAACAGTTCATTTTAGGGGGATTACCCAAGTGAAATGATTGACTAGAATAAGAGAAACCAAAAGAAAGTGTTAAGTTACCTAACATAGAAAATATTGAAACATTGATATACACTGTATAATTTTATTAATTGACAGATATAAAACTTTAACAGCATTGATTATAGTTAGAGATGCCGGTTCACAGTTCAGATATTACAGTGGAAAAGGTGAAAATTCTACTCCAAAATGATTTCTGCTGCTAGATACAAATCCCAGTAAGTAGTATTAAAATTTAAATCAGTACAAAAACTTTCACTGATTATTCCCTATATTCTCTATTCATGCGTAGTGAATTCCTTTAATAAACAAATATAAACATTTCATTGAATAGGGATTACCAATTCCTCCTGTGCTCACAAATCCTTCTCCAAATACACGTTCATAACGGAGTATGCTATTAGATTTGTACTGAACAGAATCCAAGAATCGCTGGAATCCCCTATCATTATCTGAATCAACCTTTTGCCAGATCCAGCAAATCTGAATATGCAAACAATAGGTTGCACCTTGTCGGTAAATATAAAAAAACTTGCGACAGCAAAATAAATATTAACTAATTTGAGATCATGTTTTTGCCTGATTCTGATTCTTTTTGTTCTTAACATAAGCTCCAATGCACTTGCATCCAACAAGAGAAAGTTCAAATGAATTTCCAGAATCATCAGTTGCATGGCATTCTTTAAAGACCTGCATAAGAATGCATGACAAGCATATGTTTGAATATGAAAGAAAGAAGAGATAGCTGTGTTTCATACATAGTTCAATCTTCAGATCACATCTAATTAAACACAAATTTAAGCAAAACCTTAGTGTAAAATCTGGGCTCGCGATAGTGAGTTGGGTTGTTCTTTCGCTTGCAATCACCAGATTGATGAAAACAAGACTCCCTGAAGAAAATATATCCACCAACCTTCAACCATTTCACCATCCTTTCCGCCAAATTCTCAACCTGCATTTAATGAAAGTTTTAGAAAGAAATATTCTTGAATAATATGGTTTATTTGTAATTTCAAAGCCGGAAATGGAATAGCCAAATTATTAAAGGGAGAAAATTGAAATCAATAGTTAACTTGCTCCTATGAACTCCATTTTTTTTCTTGTTATTGAAGAAGACGCTATGAAATATATTCAAGAGGGCACAAACATGTTGAGCATGCACCATTTCAAATCCAATTTAACATCCACATAAAAGATAAACTGAAATGACCTCTTTATCTGAGAGGTACATCAACAGCCAGTTTGAGAAAATCAAGTCCAGTGATCCTTGTGAAAATTCCAAATCTGGGGAAGTCACATCTGCGCACAGGAATTGGACATTCTTACAATGTCCGTTTATCTTCTCATTCTGTAATTAATGAAATCAAAACAAAAAGTCTGATCAAGCCTCTAACTGAATACAAAACTAAATGATTTCTGTCAGGTTGCATTTCAATAACCTGCTTTATAACGTTCTCAATGAAGTCTAAAGCTATAACATGACCGGCCTTCTTAGCCAATACACCAGTAAATCGACCAATTCCAGCTCCTAGCTCCAAAATGGATTTCCCTTCATATGATGGGAGTAGGGAGAGCACCTGCATATATAAACAATGAACACTTACGAATCTAAATAACAGTTGAAGGGTAAAATTAAGACAAAACAACAGCAACGGCAATTACAGAGCAATATAAGCATCAAGGCAAATTTAACTCTTGTCATATCATAATAATAACTGAAGACATTCATAGATGAACATCTTGACTTGATAGCCAAACGAAAATAATAAAAGATAGAAATGATTACCTCGGGACGTTCTTCTTTGTCAAGATCAGCGGCTTTAGAGTCTAGCATCATAGCCTCAACCGTCAGATCCACTGAGTGCTCAATCCAATAGCTCTTTTGAACCTTTCGTTCATCGCCTACAAATCCTATCATTTTTCAAACAATCAAATTCTATTTGTTTTTTTAGTTAAATGTCGATCAGAGATCCGCATCGGTTCGCAAAATTTCCATCATACATCGTCAGTCCATTTCAAACCTCCACAGTTCTAAATCCAAAAATAACACAACAAAACATTAATATACATCAAGAGATCTCACCGTTAGTCGCCATTGTTAACAAAGGAGGTCTCTAGTAAGCTTCCGGTGGGGATGAGTTTTAATTTTTTTAATTTTTTTTTTTGGAAATAAAAAGAGAAAAAGAAGAGCTAAAATCCCTCGACTGCAAGGCGAGATCTGGAAAAAGACCTTGATCTGCGATTGTTACTTCTTCCTCTCTGTTGCATCACACACTTAACTGAAACCAAAACCAAAACCTAATTATGCCAATATTGCTCTACCAATTTCTACTGCTGCTATTGCGGGAATTGGAGATCGCTCCGTCCCGCGTTTTATAGAGCCAGCTAGGGGTAATGCACCTAATGATAAATCGGCTCGAACCGGTCGGTCCGGGTCAAAACAATATAACAACAACCCCATGATTGTTTGGTATGGACCACATATAAAATAAAATAAAAACTCAAATCTGTTCTGGAAAATCTTTAAAATACTGACGTGCCGTTTGCATGAATAACAAAAGTTTTTGTAAAGCGCCTACAGCCCTTTTTAGTGGGAAAATACAGTAAGAACATGTTTAGTATTATTTTTAAAAAATAATGGAAGAAAGTATTTTAAAAAAATAGTTTAGAAAAGTATTTTTTTAAATGTTTTTGAAAAATGTTTTTTTAATTATTTGATAATATTTAGTATTACTTTCAAAAATGTTTTCTTATAGGAGCCGCTAATATTATTAAAAAAAATATATCTAGAATTACAATGTAGGTTTACAACCATTACCGAAAGCTACACACATAATTAAGATATTTTCTTATAACCACACAAAAACTAGTCACTTAAGATCAAAAAAGGAAAATATTAAAAACCTAATTAAAAACTCGAACAAAATATAAATACGATCAGATATGACTGCATCAATAAACGAATCTTGGTCAAAAATACTTCTAAAACTATGTGCATAGTTAATAGGAGACACAAATTTTATAGGACGTGTGGAGTAACATTGAAGGGACCATAAATTTATACAAGGGTCTTCCGAAAAACTGTTATCTTATTAATTTATCAAAATTATTAATTTAGACATTGGACCAAAGTCGATACCAAAAAATTTATTATTTTAGAGTTAATTTGTTGACTATTAATTTACGGAAGTTTTACTGTAATTTCTTATTTACACTATAAATGTCATGGATGATGAGCAGATCTTGAATTATCCAAGATAAAATGAGTCTTTGATAGAGTCAACTATAGATGAAGAAATTATTCAAGGTGACAATAATATTTGACCACATGTTTCTCCAAGAGAGGTTTTTCTATCAGTGAGTACCTTGAAGAATTATTCAATATAACACGAGAAGAATATACCAGATTTGATTTATGTCCTAAAAGTTAAAAATGAAATTACATTTGATTCACGTGTAAAAAACAGTTTTATATATATATATATATATATATATATATATATATATAAATGAATGAGTAAAATGTTGTCTTATATTCTTAATGTTGTCTTGGAGTTTTAGGGTTGCCAACCCCGTAAACTCGAGGAAAGTTGCTCCCTCAAAATAATTTTTTCCACCATTATTGCCAATGCATCAACTACTCTATATTTTAGTAAAAAATAAATCTGAAAAAAATTGTCTAGAAAGCACTTTAATTTGAATTAGTCACCGATATTCGATCTGTTAATCGACTAATTCAGATAGGTTACTGCAAAGGCGAGGGCGACCCTCCTAACCCAATTTACTCCATTTCCAAACACCAAGATTCAAACACCTGATATTGTTTAAGAAATCTAGTGTCTTATCTTACTAGATCAACCGATTGTTGGTAATGTTATTAATATATCAAATTTTCATTTATCGAAGTTTTATAGTAAAAATATATAAAATAATTTAAAATTATGAATAATTTATTAATCATATAATTTTTAAACCGTTGGGATTGGAGTGGGGACCATGAGGAAAGGGTATCAAAAGAGCCGATGAGCAGTCCAGATTTGGTTATTTGGTCACATATGAACATTATATTTTAATACAGATTTAGATCTAATTCAGTTATTATATTTTGTTTAAAACCTTAATATTAGTATTTAACAATTTGGATTAATATACATAAAAAACATTAAACAAAACCCGACAGACATACTTTTCATTGCAGAATCCGTGACAAGGTTTTTGTCATTTTATTAAGTGTTTGCTATATTTTTTTTTTTGTAATTTTTCTGTTGGGTATGATGATACAAGAAAAATGTCACAATGAAATCATCAAAGTACCATACAAATATTATTATATTTATTTAAAACAAGACAATTTTGTGTTTCGTAGTTTAAAATAAGATAAATCCGACTCTTGTTCATTATAAAATTGCATGGTTTTATCGTTTACTCAAAATTTATTTTATTGTTTAGATAATTCAAATCATAGTAATTTAATAATTACGGTAAATTAATCATATGATTATTTAACTATTGCCTATTTTCTTACCATAAATTTTAAAAACTTGTTAATTAAACCATCAAACTATTTAAATGTTACAGTCGAACCACCAACAATTAACTTTTAACAAAAAAAGTAGCATGACTATTAAAAATTGATATAATTATACATTTGATCTTTAATATTTATGCATTCTATCAATTTAATCTTTATTTTAATTCAATTAAATAAGTTTAATATCCAATTAGATGGTAACATGATAGATTTTTTTGTTCTATTTCGTCGATTTTGAGTGAATTTCATAGAAAACCAATCCTACGAGAAGAGTAGTGAAATGCAAACATTTTGATACTAATTTAGTCACGAAAGACGAAAGACGACTAGTGATGGGCAATAACTGACTGATAACAACTGACAAAAAGTGCATTGTCAAAAAAATAAATAGTTTAAAAGTTAATGACAAAATCAATAATCCCTTAAATATAGTGCCTAAAACAACATCATTTTGAGCATCAATAGTCATCGCCAAAACGACATATTTTTGGTGTGACGGGCCACATCAGTAATTGTTATTGACTTAACAACAAAGTGAAATAATTAAATACAAAATTTAAACTTTAAGTTATAATTAACAAAATTAAGATTTCAGTGGTATAAAAGAATCGGCAATCAAAGTTCAGTGATATCTATATAGTTTACCCTTAAAAATAGGCCAAATTCAACATACATTTTTAAGGACTTTTGACATATCTAATCCTTAAACCATAACTAAATAATCTTAATAATTATGAATGAAAAAGACCCCAATCTTTTTACCCTTCCTTTCTCTCGCTCTTTCTCTTGTATCTTTTCACTTTTCTTCCTTCCTACCATGCAGATCTTACAAATCAAAATCAAATTTAAGGGCAAAGGAACACCAAGAATTTTCCAAAAAGTTAACATAGTCCACCCAAAAGATGCATCAAAACAGATATAAGGAATAGTTGAAGGGCATTAAGTGACAATAAAGCACACCAAATTTAATGAATTTTATTACGACGCCATGGCACCGTACAAAATAATGGCAAAATAAACAATCCATCTGTGAAGCATCCTAATTCCTTAGAATTGCTTACAAAATCTACCTACGGAACTCATTGCAATTTCAACACTCAAATGTGAATTTCAATAGAAGAATTGTCCATAAACTTGGGTTATGGAACAAAATTTGTTATTATGAAAATATTTTGTTTTCTTTTAAAAGTATGCAAGTATTGGCAATGGATGCTGGGGACAAACCTTGAGGGGAGCATATGGTCTAAGCGTTGATCCTCGAAGAATCTCCAACTACTTTCTCCATTCTGGAGTACCACTCTCCTATTCGAGTGTGTTCCACCATATCTTTACCGGATCTTAGGTACCGTATCGGTCTTAGCACACCAAAGACAGCAAGGTCGGCCAGATTAGGCTTAGATCCCCCTACACAATGAGAATTAGGAAAAAAACTAACAATTTCCCTTCAAAGACAGGATAATAAAAGTAATATAACAATCTTTAAGATAGGTTAACACTCTCCGAGACACGGGTCAAGGTGGGAGCTTAAATATAATGTACCAATTCCATTAAATTGTAACCCCACCAAGATTACTTACCAACCTCAAAATTTTCTTTGCAAACATTAAAAAGGAAAAAGATGTAATGTGACGAATGCATGTCATAATGATCACTCAGTAACTTTCATATTCATATGTATCTTGATTTGATCTTCAATAACTATATTCACTGCATATATAAATCATACCAAGAAAATTTCGACCATTTAGAGCATCAACCCAAGTTTCTGCTGCTTCATACAAGGCAGAACGCTCATCAGTTATGTTATATTTCTTCTTTAGATTCTTGGACACGAAATACATAGCTGCAGCTCCAGCATATTTCACTGTTAACTTCTCAGTGAAACTGAAGTTACCTGCAGTTCAGAGGAAAGAACAACATGAATATGAAGATTAACAGCTGGAATCGATGTTGGTGCTGACTGAATGGAAGAGAAAAAACTCAAGCATAAAACACAATCTATGGTCAAAAGGCAGCTGAAAACCTCAAAGACATAATTCTAAATTAAAAATGAGGACTACATCAAAGTAAATCAACAAAAGTTAAAAGTTAAAACAAATTAGAAGATGCCATAATCAGATACTTGCATACGGAGCAAATGCAAAGACAATTACATTATATATATCCTCCAGTAAAAGTTGATGCTACGGAACTCTGTGATCAGAATAGCATCACAAGGAATGTAATTGGAAGAGTAGCTGGCCGTGATAATTGATGTTAAGTAGGTAATTCCCATTATTAACAATCTGTACAAAAGCAAATTTCTTCTGTGTTCATGAAGAAGAGTTCCAAACATAAATTATTGTTAATAGATTATGAAATAACTTTTACTGGTAATCTTAATCATGGACTTAAGAATTATTTTGGGTGATGGATTGTCGGCTGATTTTTGAAATGATTTTTGGACCTCCGTTCCATCGCTTAAAGTTTCTTTTCCAAGGATCTTTAATCTGGCTGTTAAAAATTGGGTAAAGTGGTGGAGTTTGGCTCAAAGATAAATGGAAGTTGGGTGTGGAATATTGAGGTTAGAAGAGTGTTGTTCGACTGGGAATGGAATATTTGGCTGGAATTCTTGAAAACTCTGAATAGAGCAGTTATTGGTCCCATTGGTCCAGATTGTTTGAGATGGGTGGGTTCGGAGAATGGCTTGTACTCTCCGAGGAGATTCTGTTTGAATAGTGTTAGTAGTGGTCGAGTGTGATGAGGTTTGGAAGTTAGTATGGGTTAAACACACTCCCCCAAAAGTTGAGCTATTTGTTTGGAAGATTGTTTCCCAAAGACTACCGGTGCCTGTGGAATTAGCAAAGCAAGGTGTGGTCAACTCGGATGCATGTTTGTGTTTTGTCGTAAAGAAGATGAGTCGGTTAACCATCTATTTTGCCATTGTGAAGTGGTTTGAATGTTTGGCAGCATTGGTTTGCACTGGAATCTTTTTTTTTTATAGGAAGTTAAGGCCTCGTTAAAAACCCCCTTCATGATTAACGGAACACCAATTGGTGTTCCATAATCAGTGGAAGGAGGAAAAGAGTGCCTCATAATTCATTAATAAGTAAAAGATTACATAATGTTTAAAACAAAGAAGCCCCTTACAAAAACAACCCGAAACACACCAAAGAACACATCTTTCACTCAATTAAACAATATCCCAACCCAACAAACAATAACTACCCAATACCAGCCTTAGCTAAGCTATCAGCTTCTATGTTTGCCGTTCTGTCAACCCATCTGATAGCTCCTTCCAAAACTCTTATCATGGCAACAATATCTTTGACTAGATGAAGGAAAACACCAGGACAGCTATCTAAATTCTTAACCCAATCCACAGCAAGTTTGCTATCAGATTCAACAATCCACCGATTTTTAAACCTCTGAAGAATATGCTCAAAGATAAGTACACCCCTCTTGATGGCAACAAGCTCCAGCAAAGTTGGAGGGCCTGTATCTGCAGATTCTTTAAAAGAACCCATAATCTTACCAGCCTCATCTCTTAGTAAACCACCCACACCGCTCTTTCACCAATCATTGCAAATTGTTGCATCTACATTCAGTTTTAGAAAACCCTTTGGAGGAGGAATCCAACACACAATTTTAGTAGCCGAATTTCTGGAAGAAGAACAGAAATCTGCAATAGATGGATCACTTATCAGGGAGTCTTTAGTAATAGTAACCTCGTTGAACTTAGCTAAGAACCAAGAAGCAAGCCTTAGCCTAGCCATGAAAAATAACTCAATGTGATCCAAAGACCTTCCTTCAAACACCACGGCATTCCTAAATTTCCAAATGGTCCAAAGTACTACCCCGGAATTAAGGACCAAATAGAAGAAGAAAACATCATGTCATTCCAAGCAAGTAAAAATCCTTGTGCATTTCCATGAAGGACCGAACTAATATTCCAAAAATTCAAAAACTTATTCCATAGGGACCATGCCACCGTACAAGAGAAAAATAGATGAGGAATAGATTCAATCTCTCTTTTACACAACGGACAAGAAACATCAACAATCCCCAAAATCCCTCTTTTTTGAAGCTCAAACTTAACTGCCAATTTCTGATGGGCTACTTGCCACATAAAAATTTCTATTTTAGGAGGAACTAACCCCTTCCAAATACATTTCTCCCAGAAACTATCTTTTACCGATTCAACAAAACAAGTCTTCACACAAGAATTAACAGTAAAAATACCTTCCCCATTCACTCTCCAAAGCAGACCATCTCTTGACTCTTGGGATGGGCTGAAATTATGAATGATGGCTAGAAAATTAGAAAATTGTTCTAACTCCTAATCACATAGGTTTCTTCTCAACTGGACATACCAAGACCACCCCGATGAATTGAACTCACCAAATTCCTTAATTATCCCAAACTGATTCAATGAAAGAGCATATATCCTCGGGAAAACAGTCTTCAAAGGATGATCAAGAGCCCAAATATCTACCCAGAACCTGATTCTCTCCCCATTACCCACTTTGACTTGGAACATGCTACGAATCTTGGCACCAAACTCATCCTCTTTAAAATGATTATTAACCACCGATTTCCAAATCCAAGAAGCATTTGCAGGATATTTTTTAGAGAAAGAAATCAGATTATTGTCCTGATTATATTTGGAACTTATCAACCTCTTCCAAGTTGATTCACTGTCATTAGCAAACTTCCAAAACCATTTTTCTAATAAGGCCCTATTCATAAAATTAAGATTCGGCACACCCCAACCACCACAACTTCTTGATTTACACACTGTTATCCAGTTGACCCAGTGTATTTTCTTAGATTCTGCCCCTCCTCCCCACAAAAAATTGGCCATGATGGATTACAACTTAGTATTCACTGCTGCTGGAATTTTAAACATAGACAAATAATATGTAGGCAAGGAACATAATACTGATTTTAATAAAACCAGTCTCCCTGCCAAAGAAAGAGTTCTTGCCTTCCAACCCGACAGTTTCTTGAAGAATTTCAGCACAACCGGATCCCACAGAGCTGAAGAGTTCCATTTTGCTCCAAGCGGCAGCCCTAAATAATCAGAAAGGAAAGTGCCAACTGCACACCCAAGATCCCCCGCCCACTCCTTGACCTCTTCATCGGTAATATTAATGTCAAATAACTTACTTTTGCTTAGATTAAACTGTAGACCAGACATAATTTCAAAAACCCTTAGAACTCTCTTAACATTTAAAATATCCGTCTTAGAGGCATTACAAAAAATAATAAGATCGTCTGCAAATTGCAAATGGGATAGCATGTAAGAACCTCCTTCTTTGTCGACAACCAAACCATTAAACAACCCCGAAGATACCGCCTTGAGAAGCAATTGATTAAGTAGCTCTCCTATAAAATTAAACAATAATGGGGAAAGTGAACAGCCCTGTCTAAGACCTCTTGACATTGAAAATTCCTCTGTAGGCACACCATTAACCAACATTGAAACTGATGTTGTGGTCACACACTTTCTTATCCAGCTGCACCATTTTATGCCAAAACCCATTTTGTCCATGACTTTGAAAAGAACATCCCAATTCACTGTATCATAAGCCTTCCGGAAATCTGCCTTAAACACACAACCCTTCAAGCCTTTCTTTCTCCAAAAATCTATTCCTTCATTAGCTATAAAAGAACAATCCAAGATTTGTCGACCAGGAGTAAAAGCAAATTGTGAAGCACTAATGACATCGTTCATGCAACATCTCAACCTTCTTGATAGACATTTCGAAAGGATCTTATACAATCCACATACTAAACTAATAGGTCTGAAATCATCTAAGCCCCCAATGTTTGAACCCTTAGGGATGAGGGTTATGAATGTGTGATTAATGCCATGCTCCCAATTTTTTCCCAAGTAAAAATTATGAAAAAATTTCAGAATATCAAATTTCAATGTGGACCAAAACCTTTTGAAAAATCCCATGTTAAACCCATCTGGCCCTGGTGCTTTGTTGCTATCACATGAATTCAAGGCCTCCCAAACTTCTTCCGTAAACCTCTTCTCTAAGCTTGTACTCTGCTCTAAAGTTATTCTCGAAAAATTCAGCTTGATATCTTCCACTTCCAGGGTAGACATGAAATTAAAAGTTTCAACAAAATGATCACAGACACTTGCCTTTATGAGAGTCGGGTCATAAATGATTTCATCTTTCACTTTGAGAGCATTTAAAGAATTCAACCTCCTCCTAATTGAAGCACAAGTATGGAAAAATTTTGTATTTCGATCACCTTCTTTTATCCATTTCACTCTTGAATTTTGAATCCAGACTTGCTCCTCAATCCTGTATAACTTCCACAATTCTGATCTTAAATACCGCAATTCTTGAACACTATCTGTACCCCTTACTACCTGCTGTGACTGAGGATTCTGCTCTAATTGGTGAATCTTCCCTTCTAAAGCAGAAATGGTTGAAGCTGGAAACTGATCTCTCCTTCCAGACCAACTTTTAATAGCTGATTTTGAACTTCTAATGATGCTCAGAATACTTGCTTTTCTATTAACTTTCTTACAATCTTTAATAGCTGTAACAACCTGCTCATCAAACCCATCCTCATTCATCAAATAGTTGAACAACCTGAAAGGTTTTTTACCCCAATTATCACCCCCGTCTGAAGCAATATTGCATTATGGTCAGAAATAGATCTCGGAAGTAGGAGTTGGGTGATATCTGAGAATGCAGATGAAAAATTAATACTCAACAGAAACCTATCCAATCTGACAACAGTAGGATCTTCCCAATTGTTACCCCAAGTAAATCTTCCCCCCGTTAATGGAAAATCAATTAAGCCCGAATGATGAACAAATTGCCTAAAAATCTCCATCGAATTTCTGTTTTGTGCTTTTCCATCCTTCTCATCTTCTGTTAAATAAGC